ACTGGATTGGAGGGGACATAAGTGGAGAGAGGGAGGCAACTCAGGGAGCTGTTGTGTTAGTCCATGTAAGAAAAGATAACAGCCTAGGCCAGGATGTTGGCAGGTGAGGCTTTCTGGGATATCAACTCTTGGAAATGTGAAGGCCCTTCATAAGCAGAAGTTGCAGAAAGACTTTTATGAGCCAACATTACCAACTCTCAGTCTGTCTGAGTTTTCTACATCTCGCCCGCCATCTAATCAATCACACGCCCTCTAAGAGGAAGCACAGTGTGAGACACAGGCCCCTTTAAAAGAGAAAAAACAGAAATATGCCCAACCACTCCATACTTCCTACCCTCGCTCTGGCCACTAGGTAGAAAGCCCTTTTAGGTCCCAGGTACAACACCTCTCAGGTTGAACTCAACTTACAGTGAATGTGATAGTCATTAGCTCTCCTGACCATGGCTTGGCTGTTCCATCATCACTGCCCCAAGAGGATAAGGACTTTCTACCTTTTACCAGACTGAATGCAACTCTGGCTAGAGGTGGTCCATGACATCAAGCAGAGTTTTGTGAGCCCCACCCACCAAACACACATGCACACTCTCCCACCTGTTTTGTCCACCTGAGCAGAACCAGCTTTTCAATGATCCATTCAGAAGTGGTAGGCTCTCTCTTGGTCCTACTTCTTCCTATGACACAGCCTGGAGTGCAGTGGAGGGTACCTACTCACTATTAATACTGAATATTTCATAGAGAGACCAGCTTATAAACTTAGAACATCGTCCTGGTCATACTGGCTTGCCAAACCATGTTCTTGATTTATTCATTAGGAGTAGCAGATGCTGTTAGTATCCCACCCCTCCCCCATGGCACTCACTATTCCTGTACATACTGATGGCTTTCTGCAACACGCACTGTGGCTCTCTGCCTTGGCCCCTTTCTGGCTGAAGGATCCAGTTTGGCTGGCCAGCACATGAGCCAGGCTACAAGTGCAAGGAGTTCAATGCTCTCAGGAGTAGTCTCAACCTCGGACAGTTGGGAGCTAGTGGGTAAACAGCCCAGCTTTGGCCCTTGGGTGAGACAACTCTGGTGCATGTTCTACATACTCCTTCAAAACTCTCCACAGGATTGAGCCCCACTTGCTCACAGCAGTGTTTGGGCATCATATGGAATATATGTGGATTTTTATGGTTCATGCGAATGGGATGCATGTGTGGGTGGCTATGGAATATGTGGGCACATAAGGTTCTTTTATAAGTGTACAATGTATGTATTTGGGGGTATGTGTAGCTGATTTCATTTTTGCCCAACAAACATTTGCTCCTCTTCCCCTTCCAGTCTGGGCAGATTGTACTTCCTTTCCCTGACACTTACTTGCTTTGGCCAACAGAATACTAGCGGAAGTGATGTTAGTGGAGGCCTTAAGTGTGCTTTTGCAGTTTGGTTGAACTTTCGGGCTTCTTCCATTCCCCAGAGAAGGGTTTGCCCTGGGAACTGCTGCCCCTTCAGCCTAGGCTCCAGAACGACAAACCAAGAGCAGACATGAACCCACTCCCCCACAGCTTACAGCTAAGTTCAGTTGAGCCCAACTGACCCAGGGACCCTGGAGCAAGAATTAAAGAGCTGGTGCTTTAAGCCATTGGATTTTAGAGAAGTTTGTTAGCATTATTTCAGCCATCACTAACTAATACAAGGTTTTAGATGGGATTTGCAACGCATAGGGTATGATTTGGAGTATACAGAATGTGTACGTGTATAGTGCTTGTGTATTTTGTGTCTGGGTAAATGGTATGTTGTGATACGCAAACACAAAAAAAGCAAGGGTTTATATTAGATAAAGCAAAACAAACAAGCAAAGACACCACAGAGTGGACTGTGCATGGAGTTTATGCTCAGTCCCTAGTCAGAAGGCACCCTGGGATCCTGTGCTGGGAAACCCACATCCTGAAACCTCGCCTCCCTCTGACTTGCCAGTGGCTTCTAGGAAGACAGTGTCAGCCAGACAAGAGTGTTTGACTTGACTGGTGTTCAGCAAACCAAGGAAGAGGTGGCACAAGGCCAGCCAAGTAGCGTCAGACCACACACCCAACCAGCATGTGCCTTGGCTACTGAGACTTCTGTCCCTATAACAGGACCTGGCAGCTGAGGAAGGGTCCCACACCGCAACTCCAGGAGATGAACAGAGGGGCTCTGTGTGGAGCGGAAACCTGCTGTGTGCACTGCAGCTGGACTGGGGCTCTGTGAGGAGGCGCTTTCAATCTCAGGGCTCCAAAGGCATCCCTGCAAGGGTCCCTTCTACCTACCCCATTCGTGGCCCGCTGAATAGTGACTCTGTGATCAAGAAGCTGAGCTCTGGAGGCAGACCATTAGGCAACCATTAGGCTTTGTCACAACTCTAGCAGCCATGACCTTGGGCAAGTAATTTAACCTCTCTGGACCTCAATTTCTCAACTTTAAATAGGGATAAATGTATATCACTTGTAAGATTGCTATGAGGATTGGATGAGTTGATGCCTATAAAGTGTTGGGGACAGTGCCCGCTTATAATTATGCATGTGCTACCCTCCAGGCACTGTATTATATGAATCATCTTGCATGCAGAAACCACACAGTGTCAGTGTTATCATCTGACATGGGCCAGGCTCCCCCAGAGACAGATCTTGAGACAAGGATTCAAGCAATAGCAGCTTTTTGTGTGTGAGCTAATCCAAAAACACAAGCAGGGAGCAGAGAAGTGAGACAGAGAGGGTAAACAATGACCACTGTGAGTAATTAGGGCTCAATCCTGTTAGGGAACTCTGAGACACACTTATAACACACACTGAAGAGCAACCCCAGCCAACGAGCCAGGGCTTTTATACACTGGCTCCCATCAGTCACCAAAGACTTCTCCTAGAAATTAGCATGACCAGCCTTCCCTGTTTGCCCAGGGCTATATGTCCTATGGTCTGAGAAACGCCTCCTTCCCAACCTGGATGGTTGACCACACTATCTGGAGAGCGTTAGTTCCCCAGCACCCAGCCTGTCACAGGTCACCCAGAGAAAGCCCTCAGATGCAGGTGCTGGCCATTAGAAGCTACCACATATTATAATGATTAGGCCCAAGGAGGTAAGGTCAGGACACCCAGTCTCATTTTAGATGTAAGAAAAGTGAATGTCTAACAGGCAAAGTCATCTGCTCAGTGCCTGCTGCAGGAAGGTGTGGGAGGGAGGGGTTCAAGCCCAGGTCTATCTATCAGCGCACACTGATCACTGAGCTCCACACTCCTTCCCACAAAGCAGCCTCAGAGACACATATTGGAGGAGCCAGAAGTAACTCAGGAGACCAGTGAGCTTGTTGAACGGAAACAAACATCCACCGGCTGACAGGTCATGTTCATGGCTCTGAGGGAGGGGCGGTAGGTGGAAGTCAGACAATAAGGAGGTAGAGTCCTTGGCCCAAAGGAGAGCATGGCAGCCTCTGAAACAGGCATGATTGCTCTGCTCAGGCTGATGGCTGCCATATGGGATGGAGGCCCCATGTTACTAAACCGCCCAATGCTTTCAAAGGAAGCTGGATTTTTAGGGGAAATCTCCAAAGTATTACATGTTGTCTAAGAATTTTCTAAAAACATATTGTGGATGAACCCTGTGTGGACCCAATACAGTGTGTAGGCCCCTGGCTGCCTGAATCCAGTCTGTGGCTCGCCCACTCACCCCAGCAAGTGAAGCAAAGGGCTCATGTGGGGTCTTTTCTCAACAGGCAGAAATGGGGGCTGGCTCAGGCTGCATTTAGTACACATATTCACCCATTTTGAGCTTTTTTTCTTTTTCTTTTTTGTCTTTATATCCTTCTGGACACACCTCCACACATATGTCTCAGCTGACATCCAGCATAGGCCCCAGAACAGCCACACTGTTTACAGTCAATAAATAGCCAATGCCTGCAGTCCCCTAGTTAACCCCTATGCCCCAACTGCCCAATTCTATAAAGATCCCCAGAAACTCCAGGGTTAACCTCTGGCACAGCAATGACCTCAGCTGACCTTGTGGTTAGAGTCCTTTCTCATTCTTCAGGGCCCAAATATCATCCCTGTGTCTTTCTGTGTCTTTCCCTCTCCTCATACCTCCGTTCTTTTCTAAATCAGGCAACCATCTTGAATCCTTGTTGATTCAAGGATATAACATTATCAACAGTGATGTGCAGATAAATGTTTAACAAACCGGCTCTCAAAAGTAGGGGGGAGTCCAGATTTGTAGCAGCTGCTGACTCCCATGGTATAAATACTCACACCCTGGCCAATTTCAAGCTGCCAACATGACTGAATGTGGAAGTGACAGGAAATGTGCAGTAACTCACCACCATACAGTATTTACTATACAGATGCAAATAACCTAAAAAGCACAGATTGTAGTAAAATACAGTGAAATCAGTAGGAATTAATGAGTTCTGAGGATTTACTACCTTTTTCTTCCAATAATAACTTATCATACCATTAGTTGATGTAATTTAATTTTTTAAAAATTTTGTATAGGTTTTCTTTATTTTTGAAACAGAGAGAGACAGAGCACGAGCATGTGAGGGGCAGAGAGAGAGGGAGACACAGAATCTGAAGTAGGCTCCAGGCTCTGAGCTGCTGCACAGAACCTGACGCGAGGCTCGAATCCAGAACCGTTAGATCATAACCTGAGCCGAAGTCGGACGCTTAACTGACTGAGCCACCCAGGCGCCCCGATGTAATTTAATTTTTAATAATGCCTGTGTTTCTCAACCAGTCCACAAAATTCCTGAAATTTTTAACAACTGGCTCTTGTAAGCCCATATGAGCTGGGTCCAGCACACCACTGGATGAATAAATGCAAAAGCAGACAAATAACAGAAACAGGTGCTTGGTGGTCAAAAGACAAGGATTGGAAAAAAGACAAAGATCAGAGGGGGAGTCACCAACCACCCTCAGAAGGGCAACTCAGTGTCCCCATTCATCATCAGTGGCAGGCTTCTGCTGCTCTCCACCCTCACCGAGCCCAGCCCCACATACCTGCAGCAGGAAGTCGAAGAGTGCCAGGCGAGCCCATTCAGCGTGGTGGAGGCCCAGGCAGGGGGCCTGGCTTGGCCAGCCACAGCCACGTGCCAGCAAGGCCTGGTACTGCAGCCAGCCCAAGGACAAAGAGTTCTGATCATCGTCTGGGTCTCCCAGGTGCTGCACATCAGGCGCCCACCAGATGACAGGCCTTGTGCTGCCATCTGTGTATCGGTAGGGCAGCAGGGAGCTCCGGAAGTTCCGGGCCACGGCAGGCAGGCTTCGGCGCAGCCCTAGCACACGGTCCACATGGAAGGCCAGGACCTCAAGCAGGTCCCCGGGCCTCTTGATCAGGCCGCAGAGCCCCTGGGAGCAGAGATGGCTGAGCCCAGAAGACACGTCCAGAAAGGCCCCATCACTGGAGAAGCCAACCTGCAGCACCTGCCCGTGGCCAGGGACCCTGGTTTTGCCCACCACCTTCCCCTGGGCCAAGAGCTGGAGCACTTGCACGTCGTGCTCTGTGAGCCACGGGGGGACCTGTTCACCGGTCCTCAAGCCCGTCCGGGGAGCAGGGCTCTCAGCCTCGCACCAGACAGATCTCTGTAGCTCACCAACAGAGCCTGGCCACTGAGGAGCCCCTGCAACTGGGGTGGGGAGCCCTGCCAGTCGCCCACCAGTCCATTCTGGCAGATTGCTGCCTTCTGCTTGGTGGGGCCTGACGCTCAGTCCAGCAGTAGATCTCCAAGCCTGTAAAACCATCATGCCCTGCCCTGCGAGGGTGCCATCCAGGGTGCCAGTCTCATTCTGTGCCTCTCTGATTAGACTGTCATGCCAGGGGGGACCCAGGTCTTTGGGTCCTGGACCCCTGACCTCATCCTCCCTCAGGAGCACAAGACGCTGGGTACTGAGTCTCCAATTTCCTAGAGATGCCAAAGTCATGTCCCTCCTGACCCTCCCTGGATGCCTACTGTCCCCTCTCAGGGACTTCCTTCTTCGGTCCACAGGCCCTCTGTGGCCTTGCCCCTCAGCACACACCGGGATGGAATTCCGAGGCAAGGCCCAGCCTCTCCAGAGCCCTAGGTCTCTTGCCTGCTGCCTCCAGCTGGAGCTCAGAGCCTGCAGGTTGTGGGGGCCAAGGGCACCAGTTACCTCCTGGGGCTCCATGGGACCAGGGTCTGGGCTGGTCGCTGGACGCTCTAGGGGGAAGCGAGTGACAGCCAGCACAGACAGAGTCATCAAGAGGCAGAATGCCATCACCAGCCGCCTCTTGCCACGCAGCTTTCTCCAGAGCCAGGATGCCTGGGGGGCAGGGTAGAAAAAGAAAATCTGAGACCTGGGAAACTGTCAGGCCCAACCCACAAAACGACAAGGATAGTGAATGAACATCTCAGGCACACAGAGGGGACGTAGATGGTGGAGTACACCTAGCTGCCTTCGGGGGAGGAATGGGCAGCCACTGCCAAGCATGGTCCTGCTTCAAAGCTGAGCTTTTTGCTTGGCCTTCCAGGGCAGCCTTTGCTGATGCCTGCAGGCAGGCTTGGGCTTCTCCCCCTTGAATAAACCATGGTGATGGCACTACCAAGCACCGGAAACATCTCTTTTCACATCTATACCTCACCACGGAGTGCTTGGCCCCTCTCTTTTCATCTCCATGTGAGTCCTAGGGCCCACTCTGTAAGCCTCTAATCATCTCCTGCAAGCAAGCTTTTCCCTTTTCCAAGCTGCCCTGCTATGGATGCTCTTGCCCAGCCTCTCCTGCAGCCAGGTGTGGTGTAACCAAGTCCTTGCCTCGGCCCTTCTCCCTGCCCCACTTGCTCAGAAGGATGCTGGATGCCTCAGCCTTTGTTGGCACACCAATGTGGTAGCACCAGCTCCACATGTGTGGACAAGGACATGCTCTAGGCAGTGACTTTTTTTAAGTTTATTTATTTATTTTGGGCAGGGGTGAGGAACAGAAAGAGAGGGAGAGAGAATCCCAAGCAGGCTCTGCACTGTCAGTGCAAAGCCCGATGCGGGGCTCATACACACGAGCCATGAGATCATGACCTGAGCTGGAATCAAGAGTTGGATGCTTAATTGATTGAGCCACCCAGGTGCCCCAGGGGCAGTGATTTTTAAACACGTTGTTCCCAGTAGCATTAGTATCACTGGGAACTTGTCTGAAAGGCAAGTTCTTGGGCCCCACCCCTCTTCACCTGACTCCAAGGTACCTATACTGCTGTAAGCCGGCAGGTAGGTCTATGTCCCAGGCCCATGCAGCCCCAAGTCTGAACACCCTGCCTGAGGCACGACAGGGTGGCAACCAGTAGGCTTAATAGCAGTGGAAAGATCAGATGAAAGCAGGTTTCTGATTTCTCCTCACCCCAGTCAAGGCCCCCAGGGCCACAGGGCAGAGAGACAAAGCCTAGGGAAGATCTTCCTTCATAAATGTGAGCTCTCAAATCCTGGAGTTCATTTGGAATCTCTCTCCTGCCTGGTGGAGATGGGCTGGAACAATGGTATTCAAATCTGCCCAGAGGGTTCCTTCATGGTCTACCCGGGGGTAAAAGTTTAGGAGAGGACTTTGTGTGCTCTGTGTCTCCATACACACAGACACACACACATATACACATATACATAGACACATACACGCTTACATACACATACACTTCCACCAAAACAGTTCTGTGTTCTTTCACTACGTAGGTTTCGTCCATTTGTGTTACCTGATATGCTATACGTGCTTAGTCTTTGTTTTGTTGTAAATTTTTAGAGTATATTTTTGTACTTGTAATTTGGAATTCTTTCAGCATGTTTTCAGTTACCTTTACTTTTGTTTGTGGTGTACACCTTGATGTTTGTTTGCCCTTAATTGTCTACTTCTTTAGACAGTAGCTCTGAATCCCTAGTATGATCATAAAATTAGCACCTGCCTTCTCCCCGTCCCTTACCACTCCATTGCTATTCAATGTTAATCACTTGCATTGTCCATTTTAATGTTTGCCTTTGTACAATATGCTTACATTTCTACTGTATCTGGCAGCTTCAAATGATATCCCTTGGTTCTCACCTGTTATTAATGAATAGCATGTTTATTCTTTCTGAATTTCTTCCAAATTTCTATCATTTTTATTTACTTTTTTTCCTTAAATAGCTTATTGTCAAGTTGGTTTACATATAACACCCAGTGTTCATGCCAACAATTGCCTTCCCCCATGCCCAACACCCCCCTTCCCCTCTCCCACACCCCCATCAGCCCTCAGTTTGTTCTCAGCATTCAAGAGTCTCTCATTTAAAAATTTTTAGAGTATAAAACTTGTGCCTTCTATCCCATTAGTCCAATACTCACATTTGTTCAAGTCTTCGCTCTTCAGTGAAATACATTCTTTGCGTGCTCCTGTCCCTTTTGCCCTAGTTTTTCATTATTTCTTGGTTGGCTGAAGCCAAAACTCCATCATTTCCTCAAGCAGTGCACATGTGAACAAAATTCTCTGAGTTCCTGCATGTTCAAAACTGTTTTTCTATAGCATTCAGACCTGAAGGAAAGTCTAACTAGAAATAAAATATTTTGTCACCGTTTCTTTCTCGTAATGGCTTGTGGGTCCTGCCCCACTGAACAGATGGACATTTTACCCTGCCTAGTTGCCATAAGAATTTTCTTTGTCTTTACATTTTTCCAGCTTTATTGAAGTATAACTGACAAATAAAACTGCATATATTGAAAGCATATACTTTGATATACATGTACATTATGAAATGATCACCACAGCCAAGTTATTTAGCACACCTATCACCTCACAGTTACCTTCGTGTGTGTGTGTGTGTGTGTGTGTGTGTGTGTGTGTATGTTGAGAATGCTTAAGATCTACTCTCTGCAAATCTGAAGTGTACAATATAGTATTCTTACCTATAGTCACCTGATGTACATTAGATCCTCAGAACTCAGTCACTTTATAACTGAAAGTCTCTATATTCTTTGACCAGCATCTCCCCTTCTCCTCCCTTTCCCAGCTCTGGCAACCATCATTCCACTCTGTTTCTATGAGTTTGACATGTTATTTTTTAGGTTCCACATAAAATGATACCATATAGTATTTGTCTTTCTCCGTCTGGCCTGTTTCACTTAGTATAATGTCCTCACAGTTCACCCGTGTTGTCACAATGGCAGGATTTCCTTTTTTTTTTTTTTATGGCTGAATAATATTGTGCTGTGTGTGTATGTGTATGTATGAAATGTATAATGTATAAAATATATAAAAATATATATTATATATATTTTTTCTTTATCTGTCCATCTGTCAGTGGACACTTAGGTTGTTTCCATTTCTTGGCTATTCTGAATAATATCTCTTCAAGACACTGATTTCATTTCCTTCAGATATACACCCACAAGTGGGGTTCCTGGATTGTCTGACAATTCCAATTTTTTTGTTTTTTGAGGAGCCTCCATTCTGTTCCCCACAGTGGTTGAACCAGTTTACAATCCCGTCATCAGTGCAGAAGGGTTCCCTCTTCTCCACATCCTTCCCACATTTGTTGTCTTCTGAGCCATGCTGACGGGTGTGAGGTGATCTTTTGTTTTCTTTGAAGTCCAGTGATGTTACTAGAATATATCTCAGTGTTGACTTTCTTGGGTCCATTTTTCTTGGCACGATCCACCTTGTTAGAAAGGGTAGATTTAAATAGTTTCTTTCACCAAACTTTTCTTAGACTAAATGTGAAGTATGTTTTCTATTCCACTATTTCATTTTTAGTTTTTTCTTCAGCCTCTTTAATTACATATATGCTGGATCTCTGTTGTCTGTGCTGTGTATCTTCCATCTTCTCTCCAATGTGTATCTTCCATCTTCTCCTTTCTAACTATTTTCATTTCAGCTTATTCATGTTTCTCATTCTTTTTGGCTTATTGTGTTTTCTCCTTGAGTACTTTCTAATTTCTACCTAATTCCAGTTACTGTCTAGTTTTCCCCATTTCTTCCCAGATCATATTTCATTTCTTCCTGCTATCTTACCATTTTTTCTTGCATTCTTGCATTTCACTTTTGTAGTGTTCCTTCAGAGATATATTTTTTCATTGAGCTTTATAAATTCACAGTGAAATGATTGCTCGAAATTTTCACCTGTTTCAGGGTGACTGACCTTCATCCATTCATAAACTTTGCTCTTCCTTGTTTCTTTTCCTTACAGTGTCTTTGTATGGATGCCGAATTCTTCTTAGGAGTTAGAACTGTGGCCAGACTGCGTCCTGCAAATTTGGCCTAGGAGCATGGTCCTTCCTCTGTCCCCTCCTCTGACTCTCTCATCTTAATGGTCCAGCTGGGGTTGTTGGGCAACCTCAGCCACCCTCATCTTCATAGCCTCCTTTGCAGACAAGACAGAAACCTTGCTTCTCAGCTATATTTGTATCGGGGCTTTCTGGGATCTGCCACCACTGGGATCTCTCCTCCCCTCTCCTACATCTCCCAACACTGCTCTGCAAGAAACTGACTGCTTTTTACACAGCTCCCAAGGATTCTGGTGTCTCCTGAGTCAGCCTTAAAAAGGAATTTTCTGCTGATGCATAGGAGCACATGTACTCCAATGTTCATAGCAGCACACTCCACAATAGCTAAAACATGGAAAGAGCCTAAGTGTCCATCAACAGATGAATGGATCAAGAAGATGTGCTTTATCTATACCATGGAATACTACATGGCAATGAGAAAGAATGAAATCTGGCCATGTGTAGCAACATGGTTGGACCTTGAGGGTGTTATGCTGAGCGAAATAAGTCAGGCAGAGAAGGACAAATATCATATGTTTGCACGTATAGGAGGATTAGGAGGAACTTAACTGAGGAACAAGGGGGAGAAGAAGGGCGGAAATGGTGGGGGAAAGGGAGAGAGGCAAACCATGAGAGACTCTTGAATGCTGACAAAAACTGAGGACTGATGGATGTGGGGGGGAGGAGGGATGGGCATGGAGGGGGGCACTTGTGGGGATGAGCACCAAGTGTTATGTGGAAACTAATTTGACAATAAACTATTTGTAAAAAAAAAAAAAAGAAAAAAAATGGAAAAAAAAAAGGAATTTTCATTTTGCCTTCTATTCTCTTTGTTGCTTTCAGATGGTTTCCAGGAGACAGTGGCAGGTATGCAGTTTATGCAGCCATGTTCACAGTCACGGGCCTTGGTGGCACATTTTTAAGAAGGACATGCCCTAACAGAATGCAGTGACTAGGGCAGGCCACAGAACAATCAACTTTTTCGAACATCTAGGTCAGGAGCCACAGTACCCAAATAGCTCTGGGAAGTCCAAGAGTTTTGTCCCCTCTGTACATT